AAACAAACCTGGGAATAGTAAGCAACTGAGGTGGACTAATCAAAAAATGACTATTCTTAATATAAATAGAGAAAATGTGCTCGAGAGCTGTGATTAATGTTTCATTCGATGTCATATACATCTATTTATAATTAATCCGACCAGCAGTTTCAAAGGAAAGTTAATATTTTTTATTTAATAAATTATTTTTTTTTATCCAAAATAAAAACCATGTAGTCATACAACGAACACATCTGATATTATTTTCGAACGAATATGCATTCGGGTGAACTGAGATTGCTCTATTTGAGAAAAACGGGATCCGAAATGCCATGGAAAATGAGCATTTGTTGGTATGGTGAAAGTGCGTGGTCATATTTAGAAATACAGCTTGATAACAATGGCTGAAAAGGTATATGATGTTATCAATATGAATCCGAATATTGTTAAAAATAATCAATAATAAATTTAAAGTGATCTTTCATAATGAATGACATGCAAGCTAAGTACCATACTGAGTGGATGCAAAACTCATAATGATTGCAGCTCAGTATTGCAATATTCAATTTGGCTAGAACTCCTTGTGTGAAAAAAAAAGTAATAAACACCCAACTATTATTTCCTGGTTACTGAGCTTGTCCAATTCTTCCATTACTTTGGGATCATCTGTAAGAATTTCCCCAACCTGACTGTAGTATCGCTGATACTCCAATAGTAAATGGCTATCCTGCAAGAATTTAAAAAATTAAAACGAATACTGTACTGTTTTCTTTAGCTCGGGTTTGTGGTGAAGATACAATATTGTAATATTGTATTTACACACGGGTTCCTATTGTACCACATATTTATAATAAGGCAAATAGGATTAGTTAGTTATTTTCGATATTACTAAAATCTGATATCTTTATGTTTAACATTCGCGAAAATGGACCGAAAAATCATAGAACGTCCATAATTTGTGATGTGAACAAAAACATCATTCGTGATTACACATATTTATTAATTGTAATTCGTTTCAATTTATGAATCACATCACGTGTAGTATCGAATAGTTCGTTGTCAAATAACCAACAAACAATTAATTATAATTCTATTCTATTCTATTCTATTCTATTCTATTCTATTCTATTCTATTCTATTCTATTCTATTCTATTCTATTCTATTCTATTCTATTCTATTCTATTCTAACAAAATATTTGTTTTCCTTACTGCTAAATCCTCGTCAGTGAGCTCGTCTTCATTAATGTCCACTGGAGCTGAATAGACCATGGAGATGGCGGCTGCCAGTAGTAACCATGGTAAACACTGCTTCAACTTGATCATGTTCAGACTTTTATGAGCAAGTACAATTTGTCAAGCAATTCTAATTGATATTCCTCCAATGACTGTGTCTCACAGTGCGTATATTCTTTTGTTTGACAATGAACTGGGCACGTTATTGTCACACGTATTATGTTGCATCCAGTACGTATTCCTACAACCACGTATTATGTTTTAAAAATAGAACAGATGCAAATTTTTGCAATGGATTATATTTATTGTATTTTCGTTGTTGATTTTTATTTTCTGTATTGTAGCCATGTTGCATTTTTCCTGACCATTGAATGATTACATACACCAATAATAATTGGTTTTGGGCGAAATATAATACACATTGTCATATCACGCGAAATACGAAACAGGCGACATGTGTGTAAAATCGATTACGCGAAGAGCGCTTTCTATCCCGTTATCTACTATAAATTTTCAAAATAAATGCTTTTAGTCACAGTGTATATACAGCATTACGTTAAAATTACATATAAAATCCGGCATGCGGTGATTGTTATAACCCATGTGCCTTCAGTGTACTAACCTACCATTTTATTAGCCACATTCTATTCCCCTCAAAGCCAATATCGATAGCGAATACAAGTAATACACAATATATTTGCTGATGTTGACATCGTTCGTGTTAACAACCGAGACTTAAGACAATAAGACTTCACAGTACACAGAGTTGTAACCACGCTTTATCATCGCCTCCTCCTCCTCCTGACACAAATGAGCTGTTAATAATCTACATTTTTGTCAAGTTCATTCTAATGATGAAGTGCTGTGACTTGCATTCGTGCCGATTTTGCGAATCTTAGAGTTTCCCTCGTCCCGAGAAGACAAAGCCGGAGACAAAGGCAAGATGGCGGACAACAGTGACGAATTACCACATATCAGTATAGAAGACAGTCTTGATTCGATATGCAAAAATGTAGACAAGGAATCAACTATGCGAAATACATTGTGTGAAGTACAAAAATCCGACGTATCTCATAACTTGCTTAAGGTAACATCGGATATAACTTACACATTTGATCACCAATGAATACACACCTTGACTTCCAATATAATTATAATTGCAATTACTATTCCCCTGAAAATGTCAATTCATTCTGCTCTTTACTAGATCACAACATACGGCCCCTCACAAAACATTACCATGATTTTGTTTACATTTCTCAATATTAAATCACAATTTTCTCTTCCAGCTCTTTAGTGAAACTTAGTTAAAAACTCTGTCTTTTTAACCTGTTGATTATAGTTTAATCACTTGTAATAGAGAAAGTTCTCAAGGTGGGAATGTAACTCCATTTACAGCTCTCTGTCATTCAATCATATTAATAATATTCAAATTAAACATTGTGAATCGATCTTTGTGGAAACCATTGTCAATAACAATAGACTCTCGAGAACCTAACACCTCGTATCATGAATACCTTGACAGTTTATAATCATGCCTATCCTAGTTATCAGCTAGTGGTGAAAAGAAAATCATCCTGCGCGACGTCAACATTGACACTGCACATAATAATTTCTCAATGCATATAAGTATACCCAAATAATCAACATTGCTATGCGGGTTTTTCAACAATCCAACACAACAATTGACCATTTATTAACAAAGATAACTAATCACTTTATTTGAAAGTGGCACGACAGTAACCTTCATTAGTGATTATTATCAAATTGTTGGTATCCTGAAAATGTTTAAATATGTTTTAGACAAGAAAAACCTTCAAAACTTTAAAGGGAAAGTCAAGGCTAACAACATAATACTCCTAGATAAAAGAGCTTGTCAAATGTAAGAACATGCAATTTACAGCTTTTTTATATCACTTTTCATTCTCTAGATATTCAACTTTTCATCAATTTATGTAGTCCGCCATCTTGATTCTTCATCAAAGGATTATGGGTTAAGTATGACATCATAGAATCTGTTGTCGGAAATTGAAAAAAATTATGATTGTATATTAAGCAAAGGTATTATTCCTGATGATTTAAACATTGCTAAGATTACACCTATTTAAAAAAAACGGTACACCAGCAGAGGCCAGTAACTATCGCTATATTTCAATTCAACCAATTTGAATCCATTGTGAATAAACAATTTCCTTGAAAAATATCACACAATTTGGCTTTCGCAAAAAACATAACACCAAACTCGCTCTAACTGACCTAGCCTCCAACATCGTCGATAACTTGGATAGTGACTGCATAAATTTCGGAATTGTTATTGTTATTATTAATCACCAAATCTTGAACATTATGGTATCAGACGTCTCCCGTTACAATGGTTTGAAAACTACCATTTCAATCAACAACAATAAGTCAACATTGGTAACAAACTGTCTTCTTTCAAAGAAATAAAATGTGGTGTTCCACAAGGATTGATTTTAGACCCTATTTTATGTTTTAGATTATATCAATGATATAAATTCCAGCAATGTTTTTTTTTATTTTCTAGACTAGACTAGTTCTAGGGAACTATTTTTTATATATATCTAACAATATATATTTACTAATTTGTTTATTTATTAACTTCACTTGTAATTCATTTGTATATATTTATTTGTATGTGTGTGTGTTTTATAGTAAAAAAAATAAACTTCAAACTTATTTACACATTGTAGGCTAATGTCAAAAGTCACATTCTACTTGCATTTTGGGATATAAATCAAACATTAGAATCATTTTTGATGTATTATTGAATTATTTTGATGCGTCTTGTAAAAATAGTAATAACTAGTATTCACTTAAATTTCTTGAAATCCGTTTTAATGTATCCTAGCTGGAATATATGTGTGATGACGTGATGATGACACATTGTTATGTTTAACACTGGATTATTTATTATTTGGCAGAAACGACGGGAAAGTCGCATGGTGTGCCACTAACTGTTAAAAATTCAAGATTAGTGTATTTGGTTACTGATACTGATGGCAGTGCCACTTATTCCCTACCCAAATGCATGTGATATGTTCTCTTCATAGCGTTCATATGTCGCCCAATTTGCTGATTCGATAAATACAACTCCACTCTCTTAAGAAGCCTCTCCTAGCTTAGATATATTATTTGATTAGCCAAGAGTTCATTCTCCTTTTAAATTCTCCTGTCTCTTTCTAGTTACTTTAAACGTGAAATTGTAACAGTTATTTTATCATAATTGATGTGCTTTTGTGGTGCTGATGGCTCTCCTGAAGTTGAACTTGACAATTTATTATTTATTTAGTCTTTTTTTTCGCAACATATGTCAATGATATCTAAGTGAAGTTGTACATTTTTGTAAGAAATCCATGAGTATCCTCATTTGTCATTGGATAGACATCGACATTTACCATCACTCTTCTGAGGAAAAAGAATCTCTTGACAATTTTTTTTATTGTTATTGTTATTTTTCTCAATTTAGCGTGATTTTTTTCAAATAATCTCCCTCAATACGATTACAAACAATTAGCAGTGATTCTTTGATCTGGCCTGGGCGTTTCTGAATTCTTTCATATTCAGTGTTGGACACCAACGCAGTTGCTACCCATGCCAAGGGTGAGTCCATCACAGATTCGATAAGTCAAAATAATAGTATAATGTAGAAATGTATGCTTACGTTATAATACCTAAGATTCATGCCGGAATAACACACTGAATATATGTTCGTAATTATGTAGTTTTGCATTTAACACGTATTATATGAAAAGGTAAGTGAAAGGAAGAATTTTAATGTGACCTCAATAAGATCTATATATCCATGATTTTTGGCGAATGTCGCGATCTTGGTTAAAACTGATTTTTTTGGTTTCATAGAACAACTATAAGACAAGACGTGTGTTTATGTTTAGTGTAATTGTCTTATAAATATAAATACACATAAAAATTTGGATAAACCTGCATTTTTACGTTTTAGGTGAATATGTAATATTATTCTCAGTAAAAAACAATGTTATTGTATTTTCATGGAACCTTATTTGCGATTGGATTCAGATCGCATTGTCACATTTTGTCTATTGACACAATTGGAATATATTTTTCAATGACATGTAAAACAGTCAATCTGCAGATGTCCGACTTGATTCGAGATTTTACAGGTTACATTTCCCCCATAAGCATTGACATTGGTACTGTGAAGCACATTATTCACATTCGAATATATTTTCATCCACAATCCGCATAGAATGAGTATAGCACAGTAATATGTGTAAATGAACTTGTGATATTAAGGAGATTGTGTAATATGTTTACAAGAAAAGTATCCATCATATTTTATTTCCATATATAATTTTCATTCACACCTGTTTGTGATTTGTTATAAATACAATATTTGGAAATGTATAAATACTAAAATTGTGAATTATTATCTACTGAATAAGTTTACAATCGTCTTGCTGAGCTCATTTGGTCTGAGGTAATAATTGCAGTAATTGTGCAGTCAAACTTGCATTCTGACAATATTATCATCAGTCTGTTGCTGCTCCGTCAACTTGTTATTTGCTCGGTCCTGTCTTTTCTTCGTGGCATTGTCTTTTACTTCTTGAAGCTCTTCCATTTTTTTGTTGTACTCATTCAATTCATCTTCCGTGTAAATGGGATTGTCGCGTAAGTCCTAAATGAGAATATAACTTAAATAGTTTTACACGTTCATGGTTTAAGAAATGGATATTTAGTAATTGTAATATGACAAACTAAAAACTATACCTCCCAGCCTTCTTCATCTTGATCTCTTGAAATAGACTCTACAAATTCTTTCTGATTTATTAAATCGTCTTTATTTTGATCAACCTGTGAATTTGACAGATGGAAAACAACCAAGCATTAAATATCACATTACCACACGTTGACAGAACTGTGATTAGAATTTTTCGAAATTAATTTCTATATCTTCATTATAGGATCAACATCACTTAGCTGTCACAGTGATAAATGTCACAGAATGGATTGTGGTTGCTATATATTAGTCACGAATATACAAAATTAATTGTCTAATAGGACTACAAATGTATTACAAATTTGTCCCTACAATATAACATATTTAGAAAGTATCATTATCAGAGCAAATATGACAGACATAGTAGGATAAATGTTTTTATCATAAATACTTAAAATTGGGAATTGTATATATAAACAACAAATTATCAAATCGGATATCGAACCAATGTATACTGCTGTCTGGAAAACAGGGAATAGTGTTATTGAAAACTTAAGATGAATTTAAACTGGCAAATAGACAAACTAAATGTCGAATGCAATAACAATTGTTTCCAGGAATAGGGTACTAGACGTATATAATTTATTCTTTAAATTAAACACAGGTTAAATTGGTTATCATTTAATTAAATTTATGTATGTACATAACATAAAAGGTTGAAATCATTTGTGTGATATGGACCTTTGCTATCATTAACAACCAGACTAAATTGTGTTAATAATATCTACATAGTGTGTACGTGGTGAATATACAAAAATGCAAGTGTTACCTCATTATAAACATGTTCTCTCATTCTCGAAATTTCTTCTGTTTTCTCTGAAGGGTCACCATCTTCGCCATATATTTTGTCAACCTAAATTGGGAACATTACATAGAGAAGTAGAGTATACAAATAACACGTTAGTATAATATGTATAATATCCTAAAATCTTTTATTTATGTTTAAGAATGACTGATGAAAATTCACATACAGTGCAAAATAAACACAGCCATACAAATAATATCAAAATAATGTTTTTGAAAAGTTAACTTTTTTTCTAAATGAAGAACAACTTCACAGCCAAACCCATTTATCGATCGTCTGATACAATACTGTAATTACTGTTATGAAAAAAAACACGCTGCTTATGATCTACGGTTAGATTTGTTATTTACACTTGTCTGACCATCTCTAATATTTTGACGTCTCAAAATGCATCGTCGCGACAAAGGTATATTAATATTGCTGTAAATATAATTTATTGTTGTTTAACTATGGTCAAACCCATTCGCTAAAACAAGACATGTGAATAACCATTGTAGCTCGAAATGCTATTATTAAAGGTGTAATTTTTAAATTATTAATCAAATTAAAAAATTAAAAATGGCTATTGCATGACAATAATGTCGAATATATTTATAGTAAGTATGTGTGTATTCATTTCCATTTGTGTAATAGCGTCTAGAGTAAAGGGAACACCAGTGTAGTACGATTGTCATATTGCTGGCCCGTACAGTTACTTGCCTCTTTTATTAATAATGCTTCTACCTCGAGAATGTCCAGAAAGCCATCAGCATTAATATCGTGCATTCTAAAAAACACCTTCGGGTCAAAAAACTCTTTTTCCAATTGATCTGTTTTTTCCCACACTTCTTCTAATTGCTTTTTGCTACCCTGGAAATATACAATATGTATATGAAACAACGTTATAAATATATAAACTTTTCTGAAATATGCTGTTATATCTCATCTATATAACACATACCACAATATCAAACAACGACTTTGTGCTTCATGTGTTAGCATATATTTTTTTTACAAATCCTGTATAGATAGTTTTGATAAAAACTAGAAAATTACATCGAATGTATGAATTTATATATCAGTGTTCAATACAAAAAATTGTGAGTTGTTGGTGTCATGTGTTGGTGTCTGTCCGAGTAGGTCGTTTTATTCAGGCTATTGTCACGTGAGGAATCCCGAGATTCTGACAAATTCAAGTTCAAACATGCTGGTAATATATATTGGGATATGATGTAAACGGAACTAATATCATGCCCATCACCCAAACCACCCATGCACATACAATTTTGTAGGATATCCCAAATAACACTCACTGGATGGTTGACCTCTTCATGTTTGCTTTCTTTTAGCTTTTCTTCTGCAAACTTTTCTTCTTGTACTTTTCGCTCATTCAAAGATAAATTAAGAAGCTCTTTCCTTCTCTGAATTTCCTTTTCCATGGCTCCTTTCTTAAAATCGTCTTTTCTCAGCTGATTGATCCTAGTAATATCTTCGTGTGCCTGGTAATTAAGTTGACATGGTTACATCTTCATCATTTTAGTAAAACTCATTATAAACAAATATTTTGAATAATCTGATTACAAGAAAACAATTTTAACGCGCATAACGAGTAATGTTTATTTGTGTATGTTATACTGGGAAATGCAAATGCTCTTTAATGAGCCAAATTGAAAAAGACAAAAGAATACACAGACAGCTCACAAACAATATTCAAATGACACTTTATTCTACAGAGTGTTTGTATTATACGATTAAAAGTTTACGAAATTTTCACCTTTACATTATACTTTTCTGACACTCCGGCCAACGTTTTAAAAATAACTTTTACAAACGTTCCAATAAACTGATTTCCTACCAACCTAAATATCCATCCATCATGACTTCTCTGTCTTTCCAACTAACTCTTTTGACAATCGACAATTTAGACGTTCCAACCAACCCCATGTCACGCATTTCCATCACCTTTCAATCAACTTGTTCAACGTTCTACCAAAATTTTCCAGACTCGTAGCAACAGTGGTGCTAGTTATGTCACAAATGTATGTGCATTGTGTATAACGAGCTATATAGAAGATTTGGATACCTTTTTTATTAACAATTGCAAGTCCTCTGGTCGGAACTCTTGCATCTTCATTTCGATGTGTCCCGTATAGTCCTTGATACTGTTTGCTATGCTCTCCTTCATGGCAGCAGTGGCGTTCGATTCTAAACATATCAAACAC